AACGCCCAGCTGGCGTCCTTCCACAAAGGGGAGGGAAAGCTCGGAGGGAAGGATGACGCTGGGCGGCAACCACCCTAGTGCAGAGCGGCTCGATGTCGGAGGCGGAGAGGTGGCTGCTGTACGGCGGGGAGGTGCGGGCTTTGCAGGAGCTTGCTGTGAGGATTCTCTCACAGACGGTCACGTCCTCCAAGGTAGAGCGATGGTAGTCGGCCATGGCCCGAGTTTAGCGGCGGGACCATAACTCTCTGAGCTCCAAGACCATGATCGACGTGACCTGGGTTGCCTTCGTAGGCGCACCAGGGCCGCGTTCGACCAACAGCTGGCGGCTCGCTCGAGGCTGTATGCCGACCTTGCCTCGGGAAAGCTCAAGGAAGGCGCAGCGTGCCACAAGCCCACCTGAAAGAACCCGAGGAAGTGGAGGGAGGGGAAGGTGCAGCCGTCAGTTCTATAGACTGGAGCACCTTTGGACTGTGCGGTGGGCGGAAGAAGAAGAGGAGCGGCGGGGGCAAGGAGGGCAAGAAAGCGAAGAAGCGCAACGGACCCAAGAAGGGCCAGGGGAAGCGTGCTGAGGAGGAGGAGGAGGAGGAGGAGGAGGAGGAGGAGGAGGAGGAGGAGGAGGAGGAGGAGGAGGAGGAGGAGGAGGAGGAGGAGGAGGAGGAGGAGAGGAGGAGGAGGAGGAGGAGGAGGAGGAGGAGGAGGAGAGGAGGAGGAGGAGGAGGAGGAGGAGGAGGAGGAGGAGGAGGAGGAGGGAGGAGGAGGAGGAGGAGGAGGAGGAGGAGGAGGAGGAGGAGGAGAGGAGGAGGAGGAGGAGGAGGAGGAGGAGGAGGAGGAGGGGGGGGGGGAGGAGGAGGAGGAGGAGGAGGAGGAGAGGAGGAGGAGAGGAGGAGGAGGAGGAGGAGGAGGAGGAGGAGGAGGAGGAGGAGGAGGAGGAGGAGGAGGAGGAGGAGGAGGAGGAGGAGGAGGAGGAGGCGGAGGAGGCGGAGGAGGCGAAGGAGGAGGAGTAAGGCGGAGGAGGAGGAGGAGTAAGGCGGAGGAGGAGGAGGAGTAAGGCGGTGGGAGGAGGAGTAAGGCGGTGGAGGAGGAGGAGTAAAGCGGTGGAGGAGGAGGAGTAAAGCGGAGGAGGAGTACCCATTCAAGCAGCAATAGTAGTAGTAGTAGTAAGGGTGGAGGAGGAGGAATAGGATTAGGAGGCAGCAATAGTAGGAGTAGGTTACAGTAGTGAGGAGTATGAGGAGGGCGTGGAGGAGGACCTTGAGGAGAAGGACGAGAGGAAGGGGATGGTAGACGAGTGTTCCCCTGCAGACAGATCTCCCTTATGTACATCCCATGATGGCCCTAGGCCTCTGGGATGTTGAGAAGTGATGTCCGAGAAAAAAATCCGGTTTTTTTTTAACCAGTGATTTCGTTTAAAAAAACGACCGTATAAAACGAAAACAATTCTTTTGCGCCTTGCAGTCAGGTAAGGCGATGGTAGCAGGCGGATGGTGTGACAGGAGAGCTTGAAGAGTCTCCTCAGTGGATGGGCTGACGGGGGTGGCTTCAAGAGCCCTGACAGCCCTGCCGAGGCTACCACGTCTGGCGAGACCCTCAGCCCGTGCGATGAGGCCCGTCGGATCCGCAACATGACGTGTAGGTGGGGGCCGATGGACGGCGGCTGCTGCCTCGGCATAGAGGTCGCCCAGGATCCACGGCGCAGAATAGCTGGCCAATCAGGTTTGCGGGAGGAGCCAGAGCGGAGGGTCAACCGCGGGAGGAAGAACAGAAGCCTCCATCCAGGCATGGAATCAGGGCCATCGGCCAATTGGAGCAGGGGCGTCACGAGGCACGTGGCGAATTCCTCACGAATCTCGCGGGGTGCATGGCGGGCAAGGGGTCTTGCATCGACAGGGCTGTGGGCGAAAAGAAATTCAGATATGGTGGGGGGAAATTTACCTCCCTGGCTTGGCCTTGGTTCGGTGTGGCTTGGCAACGGTTCGGGCAGACATTGGGTCCATCCCCACCGTCTTCCCCAGTCCAGGACTCAGAAACCCTCTCCCCTGAGAGGGTATGAGTGGATTCACCCTCATCGCCCACCTCAGCAGCTGCAGTAGCAGCCTCTTCCCTTAGTCTGTTTTCGCCATCTCTCTCCAACTCAGCAAGCCGTCATCAAACTGCCTGAACGAAAGTCACAGGCGCACCTCTCCCGCCTCCGCGCCTGCCGCCGCCACGACGACCACGACCCCGAGCCCCTGGGGTCGACGCAACACTCTGCCCAGCGTGCTGTCGTGCCTGCAGCTGCAGCGTCCACCATGCGACAGGAAGGGGGGATGGCATCCTCTCACTACCAGGCCGTGGGCGGTCGCCAGAGCGTGGTCACGGGGGACGGCAGAGCCCCGATCGTGCGGAGTCGGGGCGGCGGAGTTCTGAGCGATGGCACGGCCAGTCGGGCGATCACCGCCGCCGCTCTCGTACGCCGGAATGGCAAAGCCCGCTGCGCCGCGAGGAGGTGCCGACGAATCACCGCCGAGGCTAGTTGCGGCCCGCGAGGTCGCACATGCGCCGCCAGCGGAGCCACCGCCAGGGCTCAACGGCGCCGTCTCCTGACGTGGACGACGTAGTGGAGCGGGTCCTCGCCCGTGTTCCGGTCGTGCTGCGCGCGATTGGCGTGCGGACAGCACTACTGTCGGCGGTCCCAGTAGCAACGGCTCCACTTGCCGGCATCGGAAGCGTCTCCGCACGGAGGGACCGTCCACGGGAGGTGTAACGGCAGAAGCACGCCGTCCCCCATCGACGGAGAGGCGGACGAGGGAGGCTGAGGCGCTGTTGAGGCTGAACTCCGCGCGGAGCTACATGATGCGCCTGACGCGGATGGTCGAGGTGGCGTGTTAAGCGTTGGGCCGCCCCCGACAAGAGGGTTTGCTGATGGAGCACCAGCAGGCGGAGTGCCTGTCGTTGGAGGCAGCGGCGAGGGTGACGCTGGTCGCGTCGTGGCCCGGGCATGCTCCGGGAAGAGCGCTGCCACGAGGAACTGACGCGGTGGTGGCGGATCTGGGGAAAAAGATTAAGGCGGGCCGAGCATTAGGAGTGCTCGACAGCTGCGTGTCAGCACTCCGAGAGGTTGACCGAGTCGTCGCGTGACTCCTCGACGATCTGAGCGTAGTGTACGCGGGCGGTCCCCACGAAGAGTGTAATGACGGCTCGTAGGGCTAAGGCCGGCCGCCAGATCTAGAATCTGGGGCGCCGCCATCATGCACTCCGTGTGTCTGTCGAGAAGGCGCCCATTGCACCCACACTTGTATTGTTGTTGCTGTCAAAGATGTGCACGTCAAGTTCCCGATTGTCTACCTTGCCGTCCCCTAATGTGCGGCCGAAGTCCGTGCCGCGAGCGACGGCCACCGAAGGCGGCCGGCGCGAGCCGCCACCAAAGCAGAAGTGAATAATGAACTGGAAACTAAACAGGGAGGGGAGAGAGGCAAGGGCTTAAGTAGCTAGCTAAGGGAGGTAAGGGCTCAGGTGCTCTCTTCCCTTCTCTCCGCCACCAAGGCAGGAGTGAATAATGAATTGGAAACTAAAAATATCCTCGCTTCCCCAGCAGCAGCGCCTCTCCTTGAGCTTGCACCGATGCACCCCAAGCATCTGCAGCCAGCAGCCGCACCAGCATTGCCTTGCAGTCCTCCGTGGTCCACAGGCAGACCATATCCTCACTTCCCCAGCAGCAGCGCTTTGAAGCTTACACCTGTCTGCACATGTCCAGAAGAGCTCACAGTTACGCACTACATCTGTTAGGCGCACGTGGGGAAGGTGCACGGTACGGAATGCATTAGACCGTTGACGGGTTTTGGACCACAAGCACGAGGCGGTGTGAATTCAACACACCTTCAGGGAGCTTTTGTCCCACTTTAGCCTTGACGCGCATTACCAAGCCTCACTGGTCATGGAACCATTGAATCCAATGCAAGGAGCCCGCCGCTTCCTAAGAAGGCGGTAGGCAGTGCTTCATCTAAGCCATACTCTACCTCGGTGCTAAGAGGGGTCCACGACGCAAACCGCCAACACCTTGCTGCTCTCCGAGCAGATGTGGCGGTAGAGCACCTCCTCCATATCCGGATAGTGCGCATACCTGTCCGTCCATATCCGCCCTCCCCCAGCGGCGTCCTGAACCCCTGAGTCGCGTCCTCTATCTCATTGAGCTTATAGGCATGAGCAAAGGGCGAGCCGAGCCAGCTCAGCCCAGGTAAAGGGCGAGCCAAGCCGTTAATTCTGGCTGTCGGCTCGACCCGAGTTGGGCTGAGCCCGCTCGACGAGCAGCGAGCCGGCTTGCCTGGTTCTCCCACCACCCCCGCCTGGTGTGTACTTTTTAGGCATGAGCTGGCTTGCCTGGCTCAAAAATGGGCTCCTCACACGCATATCCCCCCTCTAGACATGATCAAAACGCGATTGCGATTTAAATCGCATCGCATGCAGGTGCGATGTTTAAAAAAGCGATGCGATTTTAAATCGCATCGCGCGATTTATTTTTCAAAAAAAAAAAAACTCGCACATCGCATTTTACCCGCGATGTTTTAAAAAATCGCATGCGATATTTAATTAAATCGCGCAATGCGATTTTAAATCGCATCGCGTTTTAAAACTGAATAAAAAAACAACCCAAAAAAACAGAAAAAACCATGGCTGCGGGGAAATTGACTCACGGGCAGTCGTAAGCTAGAGTGCAAATAACCAGTGTGGTTTCGTAGTGGGTTTCAGAGTGGGTTTCAGTGCAATATCGCGCGCGATTTTTTAAAATTCGCATATCGCATTTAAATCGCGTTTTTTAAGCGCGATTAAAATGCGATTTAAATTAAATCGCGCGATATAATTCATCGCATCGCGCGATGATTAAAAAAAAAAAAAAAAAACATCGCCATCGCAAAAATGCGATTAAATGCGATGCGATGCGATGCGATTTTTTTGCCCATGTCTACCCCCTCCCTTCCCAGGTATACATGTCCATATCCCCCACCTCCTCTCAAAAGTCATACCTGTCCATATCCGCCCTCCCCCAGCAGCGTCTTGAACCCCTGGGTCGCGTCCTCTATCTCCTTGAGCTTGCACCGATGCACTCCGAGCCTCTGCAGACCCTCTATGGCCTTATAGTCCGCCGAGGTCCACAGGTCTGCCACATGGAGGCAAGGGAATTTAAGAGGGAGAGTCAATATGGCTTTGGCTTGCACTGATGCACCCCCCCTCCCTCTCCCCTCGCGCTTCTGCAGGCCCTTGATCGCCTCGAAGTCCTCTGAGATCCACCATTCTGGTGTGTGAAAGAAGGAAGGCAGTGAAAGAGAGAAAGTGAGAGCGGAAGTGAGAAAGAGGGTCAAACAGTGCCTCTCCTTGAGCTTGCACCGATGCCCGAGCATCTGCAGCCAGCAGCCACACCAGCATCGCCTTGTAGTTGTCCGTGGTCCACAGGTCTGGCGTGTGGGAGAACACAAGGGAAGGGAAGGGGAAGGGAGAAGAGGGGAGGGGAGAGGAGGGGAGAGGAGGGGAGGGGAGAGGAGGGAAGAGGAGGGGAGGGAAGAGGAGGGGAGAGGAGGGGAGGGAAGAGGAGGGGAGAGGAGGGGAGAGGAGGGGAGAGGAGGGGAGAGGAGGGGAGAGGAGAGGAAAGGAGGGGAGAGGAGGGGAGAGGAGGGGAGAGGAGGGGAGAGGAGGGGAGGGGAGGGGAGGGGAGGGGAGGGGAGAGGAGCACAAACATGAAAGAGGGATCAAGGGTGGGCGGAAGTTCGGACGAAGTGGACCTGTATCCACTCTCCTTTGCAAGCCGTTGCATTCTTTTTAATAAGAGCCTCACCTAGGGTTGAGCAAACTACCCGCCCGGGTCGGGTACCCGGTACCCGGACCCGCTTTTAGGGCGGGTCGGGTATCGGAAATCCTGAAAATTACCCGCCGGGTCGGGTCCGGGTTACCCGGGCCGGGTATCAATACCCGCTACCCGAAATGCTACCCGACGTGTCGGGTAACGGGTACCCGACCCGGTCGGGTAAAAAATTACCCGAGGTCGGGTATTCCACCTAGACATGGGCGTAAGTCGCGCTGTGTTTTAGTTTTTGCGGCAAAACAGTTTTGGAGGTGAGGGGGGACGAGTGGAGCCCTACCTAGGCTAGCCCTACCTAGCCTAGCCCAACTTTAGGATGTCCACTAGTAGGTGGCGGGTAAAATTACCCGCTTTTCAGGGGGTCCGGGTCGGGTATACCCGGACCCGCCAGGCGGGTATTATAATACCCGCCTAAAAAAACCGGGTCCGGGTAAGGGTCCTGGGCATATTACCCGACCCGGACCCGACCCGAAATTACCCGACCCGAGGTCCGGTATGGCAAAACCGGGTCGGGTCGGGTAATTACCCGGTTTTGCTCATGCCTAGCCTCACCAATCCTCTTGCACATATCCAGGAACGACTTATAAACACCATGAGCTTGACTCAAATATCAAATTTGAAAGAAAAAAAAGAAAGAAAAAAAATGAGAAAAAAAAGACTCGCCTTTCGTCTTGTTCCTCAGCACCAGCAGCCACACCAGCAGCAGTGCAATCACAGCAAGGGTCACCACTCCCCCCACCACAATGCCCACGATTGCAGCAGTTGACATGCCGCCTCCCCCACTAGTAGCCGCAGGGGGTGGGGGAGGGGAATCTGGAGATGTTTGGAACAGGAATGGGGGAGAGTGAGGAAGGGGAGAGATTAGCAGGCATGTTGGACGGCAAGCAACGACAGCAAGAGTGATAAGCACGTGTGGAAGAGAGAGAAGGAAACATGCAAATTCTTCCCTTACTCCTCACATTAAGCCGCAGATACTTCTTTCACATCCCACCTGAACCATGTAAGCCTCCCCCAGTTCTCATCTGCCCCGTACATGGCTTCCACTCTGTACTAGACGTGGGCATGAGCCGAGCCTGGCTCGGCTCGAGTCGAGCCGGGCACCAAACATGCCTGGCTCGGCTCGCATAACTGTGGGCAAGCCAGGGCTGGCTCGACGGCGAGCCGGCTCGGCTCAGCTCGCCTAGCACGCGCTTAAGCCTACAGAAGTGTGCGCTGGAGCCAATACAAGCGCGCGCTGTTACGAGTGGCGCAGGCTGCTTACGATTCTTCCCACTAACTAACCTAATCTACTCCTCGGGGCGCGGAATTCTAGGGTTCCCGGAATTGACGGGAAGTAGATTGTGAGAAGGAAGGGGGGTGTTAGAGGTTAGGTTGGAAGTTGTAGATACAATAGAGTGCAGTGCGGTTGAGCTGGGCAAAAGGGTTGGATGGGTTTTTGCATCGTCAAAGTTTGGGATTGCGACTTGGCGAATGTCTGGTGGAATTCGCCAAGTCACAATGTCGCAGAAAAAAAATTCGCGTTAACATTTTGGGCGGGCGTTTAGCGTCTAAACGCAGCGTTAAAACGCTAAACGCTGTCCCGCCAGAGCGTTTGCGACGACATAGACTAGGAGTTGTTGGCGGGAGAGAGAAATGGGAGACTCGTTTTGTCGAGGGGGAAAGTTTACCCCTGAAATCAAGTCGCGAGCCACCTGGCTCGAAATCAAGCCGGGGACGAGCCGGCTCGACCCCAGCTCGACAAGGACACCGTGCTAGAGCCAAGTCAACCCGAGTCGAGCCGGATCCCAAAAAAGAAGGCTCGGCTCGCCAAAAGTGGCGAGCCGATTCGAGCCGAGCCGGATGGGGCTCGGCTTGTGCCCAGGTCTACTCTGTACAGCCCAAAGTTCGTCCCCAGCACACAAACGCCTCCCCTTGTCGCGTTTCAGTTTGTAGATGGGGAGGAGTTAAGTGTGGTGAAAGGGAGAGAGTTGGGTGAGGTTGGAGAAAAGGTTGGAGTTTGTAGATGGGTAGGAGTTCAGTGCGCTGAAAGGGAGGGAGTTTGGTTGGAAATGTTAGAGTTTGTAGACAGAGAGGAATTCAGTGCGGTGAAAGGGAGGGAGTTTGGTTGGAAATTGGAGTTTGTAGATGGGGAAGAGTTCAGTGCGGTGAAAGGGAGGGAGATGGGTGGTCAAAATTCGACCCCCAGAAAACGTGACTCTCATTTGAGAGTCGCGTTTTGAGAAACCCTACCTAGCCTAGCCCGTTTTTAGAACGCCCACTAGTAGGTGGCGGGTACTAATACCCGTTTTTCAGGGTAACCGGGTCGGGTATACCCGGACCCGCCACGCGGGTATTGTATTACCCGTCCCCTAAGGCCGGGTCCGGGTAAGGGTCCTGGGCATATTACCCGACCCCGACCCGACCCGAAAATACCCGACCCGAGGTCGGGTATTGCAAAACCGGGTCGGGTCGGGTAATTACCCGGTTTTGCTCAACCCTGGTTTCAGGTGACAGAATATCCATCACAAGACCCCACCCAAGCATGACACCACCTAGCATTTCCCATTCCAACCTAAGTGGAGAAATACGCTTGGGCAGCCTAGCGTATTGCGTACATACGCTAGCGTATAATACGAATACGCTGTACGCTAGCTAAGTACGCAATACGCTAGCGTATTTCTTGGCGGGCAGCCCGGCAAGAAATACGCAAAAAACGGTGCGACAAATTTGCGACATGACGAAACCCCACAGGGATTTCGTCATGTCGCAAACCGAAATTTGGCTTTTCAAATCGTCAACCCAACCCCTTCGCCCCTCCCAACCACACAGCATCCCACCCAATCTGCGACTTCCAAACAACACCCAAAGAAATCTCCTTCCTCTCCCTCTCTACTCTACTCCAGCAGGGTTCAACGCAGTTCACTCCTACGACGAAATCAGGGTACAAGTAAACTGGCGCGCTAACTTCAGTCATTTCTTCTTCCAAGCTAGCGCGACTAGCTAGCTGGTTTTTTAGCGACTGTTGCTATGTCGAACCCTCCACCTAGTCCTGGTTCCCACGGAACCGACGCGGGAACCTCCTGTGCTGCGTCTTCCTCTGACGAGCTCCTGGAGAACTCCACCCACGCTATCTTTAAGCATTTCAAGTTTAAGCATAAGGAGCACGGCAAGCAGCAAAAGTATTGGTGCAAGTACTGCCCCGTATCCTTGGTGCTCTGAACCCCCCCTCTTCCCTCCCCAAACAGGTTTTTTTTACCCCTGCCCGAGTTGTTTTTATACCTGCCCGCCAGAGCGTATTTCCTAGCGTATCCAATCCCATAATGAAGCGTACAGCGTATATACGCTAGCGTATAATACGCTTGCGTATAATACGCTGGACGCGTATTTCTCCACTTAGATTCCAACCTCCTTCCATCACATGGACCGGCCCCCACGATACCACTCCAGTTGACCTTTCCGACGATGCGATGGCCGAGGCAGCAGCCACCACGATCTACAACTGAACCTGCTTCTATGGCGAAGAGCTCCGCGTACCGCTCATAACTCTGACATTTCCCAAGAGCGATAGAAGCTGAATTTTGATCTCCGACGCACCACCCGCACGGAAGATGAAACCATCAAGATCGGCGATTTTGTCGCCATCGAACACGCAACACCATGATCGACTGGAATAAACGGCCCGCTCGCTTCCGGCAGCTCTACACGGTTGCCTCAGTCGATGGCAACATGTTCCACCTCAGCACCAAAGATGGCCAATTCTTTTGGCAGCCACGGGAGGATGTGACTCTTTATAAGCTCCGAAAGGAAGGATTGACCGAATCAGCCGTCGCTTCATCTTCACCAACCGTCTGATTCCGCATCCACGTCATAAGGGGATGACGGAACGTATCGAGGGGGACAGCCAGCAGTACCACCATTTCACCGCACTCCACCGACTCCCATTCCCTAGACTTTCAACATCCACCAACGGTCCTACCAACGGCTCATAACCGACTCCTATCGCCCCCTCCACAATGAGATGCGAGCTAGGTTCCATCTACCAAGCGCGGCAGACCGAAGTCCGACACTCAAACCAAAAGGCGCCACCAACCCAGAACCCAATAATGCCGCCGAGAGTCGACTGGGTCGCAACTGCGAGCACGACAAACCGAAGCCTCAATGCTCAACCAAAGAGAATGACCAACCCAGAACCCGACGACACCACCAACCCTTCCCATTGCGGTGAAAAGACTCGATACTCGGGACATCCACCGTCACTGACAACAGCCCGACGATTTTTCCTGTGCACCACAAAAGCATTAACTCACACGTGGCATCACCATGCTTCCGATTGTCTTTCCAGTGAAGAGAACCGCTCGACGCCGACGGTGGATTCACCGAAATGACCATTCATCCTGCAAGCAGTATGGACAGACACCGGATCCTCCGACCTAGGGAAGCGGATCTCCACATTTAAACCGACCAACCGCCTGAGCTGTTTCTGGACCAAGCACCGAACCGCAACCGCCATGGTCACCAACCTACAACTCGAAGCGCGACCAACCGCCCGAGCCGCGCAGAAATTTGGCAACATCCATCCGGGTTAAGGGTTTCACCCCTAGCCCTGAATCCAACCTCTAGAGCTTCAACCGCCATTTCGCCAGGTTTAGGGCTTCACCAACCTGCACGGCGAGTCAACCATCTGAACCGCACTACACTAACCGCGAGGTTCAGGATTTCGCTCCTGACCTATATGGCAAACAACAGCCCGAGCCGCAATAGCTAGGGTCAGAGAATCACCCCGTGGCCCAACCCTCATCCGATTTCTATAAAACCCGAAGTCACCACCAGTCCCTCATTCTCATTTTTCAACTCGCCTAAATTTCAAATGGAAAAAAAATGGAGCCAACTCGTTCAGACTCTTCAGTTTTAGAACCTCAGGACCACCCGACCTGAAGCACTTAACGTCTGAGAAGTTTTTGCAGAAGTATGGTTTCATCCCAACCTAGGGCACGCCATTCCCCACCATCCCGCCTGGCTTTGAGGACTCACCCGAGACCATCCAACAACAGCTTGAAGTCCTCAACCTGAAGGATTCGCCATCCGTCGATTCGCCAAGGCTCGAGAGCCAGCAACTCGACCCCCACCACAGAATTTTGGCCCCATTACCCCCTTGTCCATTCCGCCCGAGTTCGATGACCCGCCCGAACAGCTTCAGTTGGACCTGGACCTACTCAAATTGGAGGAGTCCGCCCCCATGTCCGAGTCATTCCGAATAATCGAAGTACCAGAGGAATGTGGAGACTACGTCGACCTCCCCCGAGACTACAAGGTCGAGTCAGGAGAAATCCTACTCGATACTAAGGGGCGCCCAGCACAAGGCTACCGGATGTGGGTCCGAGGCATGTGTGATAGCTGGTCATACATGACCTTTGACTTCCTTTCAGGCCCATTCACCGAGAGGCTAAATGCTTAAGCGCGGTGAGCTACAACTGTAGCGCGGAATCACCTACCGCGACAGTTCGCCTTCCCCGCAGGTTATTTGCGGTTGCCAAACCACTCGCAAGATGACGAGGAGAGGTATCGACGCCGAACCGGGTGCTTACATATAGGTTATATGCATGATCAACCGTTTTGGTTCAGATGAATGGAGATGGCATGCGATTTTTAACTGCATGCGATTTTTAACTGCATGCGACCGACCACCAGTTCGGATGCATGACGGTTTTATGCTTTCGTGGTGCACGGGAAAAATCGTTGGGCTGTTCTCAGTTACGGTGGATGTCCCGAATATCGAATCTTTTCACCGCAATGAGATGGCTCGTTTGTGTTGTCGGGTTCAGGGTCAGTCTCTTTGGTTAAGCATTGAGGCTTCGGTTTGTCATGCTCGCAGTTGCGACCCAGTCCACTCTCGACGGCATTATCCGGTTCTCGGTTGGTGGCGCCTTCTGGTTTGAGCGTCGGACTTCGGTCTGTCGCGCTCGGTAGATGGAACCTAGTTCGCATCTCATTGTGGAGGGGGCGATAGGCGTCGGTTATGAGCCGTTGGCAGGACCGTTGTTGCAGTGTGTGCTGGAGGCCTGTCCAGTTGATCGGCTCAGGCTGTAGGGGGAGAGTCAGTTCGCCTCTTTCGACCAAATTTTTAACTTCCTCGTTTTGTTCCAAATGTCTCGTACCAACCAGTCTCGCCGACCGGATCCTTTGTCTCGAGCTGCCGCTTGTAGATCCTACACGTCTGCTGCCTATACCCTCGGGCCGCGTTACGAACGGGTTTCACCGCCCGTCGGAGGAATGAATCAAGACGACAGTTAAAGGGACGCGGCTAGGCGTTTGGTGGACGCTGAAAAGTCTAGGGAATGGGAGTCGGTGGAGTGCGGTGAAAAGCGGTAATGGTGGTACTGCTGGCTGCATGCCGGCAAGGCCTTCTCACCTGCCCACACATTTTCCCCACACATACCCGCAGGTGTCACACACACCTTCCCCACCAGTGCACAACCCAGAGCCCGTCCGTCCCCAGCACCACCTTGAGGAGTGACTCATCTGTTTCCATAGAGCGAAGGACCTCTTAATATTCTCACCTGGCCCATACATACCACTCTCAGTCCTCACCTGGCCCATACATGCCTCTTCCAGTCCTCACCTGGCCCATACATGCCCGCCACTGTGTACGGCCCAAAGTCCGTCCCCAGCACCACCTTGTGCCACACAAACACCTCTCTTATCTCCTCTGGCTGATCCGGTGGCTGCCAAGTGCTGCTGCTATTGGCACTGCTGCTGCTATCGCTGCTGCTGGCAGAGGAGGAGGAGGGAGGGGGAAAGAAGCGGATGGTGGTGGTGATGCTGGAAGGGGAGAGGATGGAGCCTTCGATTGAGACTATGGCGATCTGTGGGACAGAGTAGTGGAAGGACAAGAGGGGAAGTGATGTCAATGACTGCGAAAGTTGCTACAACATCAGGCCTACAACCCACCTGCCCAGTCAAAATGCCGATCCTGTTTTAGCCCAGACTCTCGGCTATCCTCCCTACGAGCAGGCTCGCCAGGTCGTCCTTGAGCACCGCATACTGCGGCGCGGTGTGCTTCAGCTCCACCTCTCTAGAAACGAGACACACACACATACATGCTGGCTTGGGCGGGCACAGCACTGCACTGCACCGCACAACGCAACACAGCACAGCACAGCACCGCACAGCAAAGCATCCTTCAACCCACCTGCCCTGTGGAGATGCTGATCCCGTTCTTGCTCAGGCTCCCCGCTATCCTCTCTACAAGCAGTTTCGCCAGGTCGTCATTGAACACCGCATACTGCGGCGCGGTGAGCTTGAGCTCCACCTCCAGCGGCGACACACAGACGCAGACGTTGGACAGGGCGAACAGGGGCGGGCTGGGCGCGTAGAGAGACGGGCAGGAGAAGTGGTCGCACATGAGAGGCGGCTGGTACTGCATGATGTCGCGCGGGGGCGAGCACGCAGTGGAGACTTCCGGACGATACGGGACGCAGAGATCGTTGCCGTAGAGCCTGGAGGGATGGGAGTGGAGAGAGGAAGGAGATGCGAAATGAGAAGGGGAAAATGGGGAGCTGCTGATACTGCGTGGTGTCACCAGGGGAGGGGGTGAGCAGGTGCATTTTGAATCGTCTCAACATACACCTGCTGATGCTGCATGGTGTCACCAGGGGGTGAGAATGAGAAGGAAGGGGGTGAGCACACAGCAGTGACCTCAGGGCGATAGGGCACACAGAGGCTGTTGCCGCACGGCCTGGGGTCACGGTGTGGGAGTGAGAACTAGGAGAGGAAATACAATGAGGAAGCGGGTGAGTGAGTGGGAGAGTGATTGAGGCAGAGAGTGAGCGAATGGGTGGTTAAGGCTCCTCACTACTCCCAGCTGAGTGACGTTCTCATTTCTCAGCATGGCAGCATTCGCCCATGTAAAGAGGTTGTCATAGAATGAGTGAGTGAGTGAGTGAGTGAGTGATTGCGCAAATGAATGAGTGAGTGAGTGAATGAGGGAGCAAATGAATCAGTGAGTGAGTGGTCTAAAGAGCCTGAAACTCACTGCAGGGTGATGTTCTCGTGGCTCTGGATAACAGCAGGCGCCCAGGCGAAGCGGTTGTCATAGAGTGAGTAAGAAAGTGCCTGCTGTGAGTGACGGAATGCGTAATTTAGACTTACTGCAGAGTGACGTTATCGTTGCTCAGCATGACATCAGGCGCCCAGGCGAAGTGGTTGTCATAGAGTGAGATGGTGGCGATGGCAGGCAATGTGTCCAAGTGAGGCACAGGGCCCGTCAGGTTGTTGTCCGGTAGGATACTGGGGGAGAGAAGAGGGGGGAGGGGAGATGGGGGAAAGGGGGAGGGAGATGGGGGAAATGGGGAGGGAAGGGGTAGGGGAGAGATAGAAGACGGAAAACGGGAAGTGGTTGCTGTAGAGGCACTGCTGTGGCGATGCCAGGGAGAACGTCCAAAGGAGGCACAGGGCGTGTCGCCATCAGTTGTTGTCTGCGAGGCTACTGGGTGAGAATGGGGGGGAGGAGATGAGCGGGGGAAAGGGAGCAGCAGGAAAGGAGCAGCAGGAAAGGGAGCAGCAGGAAAGGGAGCAGCAGGAAAGAGGGCAGCAGGAAAGAGGGCAGCAGCAGGAGTGTGAGAAATATGAACTTAGAAAAAGTTCATTAGGAAGGAAGGAGAGCACAAGGGCTTACATAGAGACATGGGTCCCAGATATTCTAACAAGGGGCCCCGGGGAGAAGAGGTTGTCACAGAGAGATATGGTGGCGATGGCAGGGAGTGCTGCAGTGCATGGCGGCCTGCAGGGAGAGCTGCAGGGACGAAGGGCTGCAGGAGCAAGATTCTCACATGGAGTGGAGCCGGGAGAGGTTGGCTGAGGCGAGTGCAGGAGGGAGATTGCTGCTGAGATGGTTGTTGGCTAGATTGCTGCACCGCATTGGGCATTGGAGGGTAGGGGAGAGGAGGGGAGGGGAGGGGAGGGGAGGGGAGGGGAGGGGAGGGGAGGGAGGGGGGGGGGTAGAGGAAGGGTGATAGAAAGATAGCTAAGAGATGGTTCTTGACTAGGTTGCTGCAGAGCATGGGAGGGGAAGGGGAGTGGGGGATTAGTGGGGATGGAAAAAAGGGGGAAAGCGATTTGCAGGGAGGAAATGGGAGTGATGATGAAGTGCAATGCAGATAGTACCAAAGACAACTAGTGGGTGGGGTACCATCCACTGCTCCATTCTGGGAGACAGCGAGAATGAATCAGAGCATAGCGCAGAGCGGCCAGAGCGCACAACGCCACCTCTCACGGGGAGACAGGCTGTGAGCTCTCACAGGGAGATAGGCTGCGAGCTCTCACAGGGAGATAGGCTGCGAGCTCTCACAGGGAGATAGGCTGAGAGATCTCACAGGTCTGTCACTCATGGGGTCACCTGCTCCAGGTGGCTTCTAAGCTGACTAAAGAGTCGACCCTCACAGGGAAACTGGCTGCGAGCCTAAGGGACTGTGCAGTGCAACTCACAGGGTCACGAGCTCTGGGTGGCTGCTGAAGAGAGCAAGCGGCACCGAGCCTTGAAAGTTGTTGCGGCTCAAATCGCTGCGAGGGGCGGAAGGTTAAGGGGGAAAAGGGCAAGGGAAGAAGGAGGAGGGGAGGGGTGGGGTGGGACCGTGGGAGAGGTTGGGAAGAGGACAAGGACGGGGGAGGAGAGGGCCGGCGAGGCTCCGAATGAGTGCTGAAGAGAGCAAGAGGCAGGGATGACGGATGGGGAGGAAGGAAGGCGGACAGGTAGCAGGGATCAAGGGTGGGGAAAGAGGGAGGGAGAGACGTACAGATAACAGAGGGCTGGGAGGCCTGCGAGGGACAGGAGCGGCTGAGGAGGCATGGAGCAGTTGTGCAGGGACCTGTGGGAGTGCAGGTATGGAGGGAGGTGGTGGCACGACAGATGGGCAGGAGGAAAGGGGAAACGGGGGATGGCAATGGCATGACTCCTGAGTTTAGAGATGGGAGCAGCTGAGGAGGCATGGAGCAGTGGTGCATGGAGCTGGTGCATGCAAGAAGGGGGCAGCATGCACTTGTGCACGTGGTAACAAGATCCGCATGAAAGGTGGACAGTGGGGAAATGGTGAAACGAGGGGACGGCATGGCTGCTGGGGGCGAGAGGGAGATGGGTGAGGAGGCATGGAGCAGTTGTGCAGGGACCTGTGTGCATGAATGAGGGTGAGATGGAATGAATGTTGGACAGAGGGAAAGCAAGATGCACAAGAGGGGGAGCATGCGTGCGCCCATGCATGCATGCACGAACAAAGGGAGATGCCTGCCATGCTTAAGCAGGGAACTGGTCAGACGGCGAGAAGGGGGGCAGCAGGGTTGCTGTTGCTGAGGGACGAAACTGAGTCGCCTCGGGAGAATTCTCAGAACTCCCTCACGAGCAAAGAGAGATGCCTGCCATGCTTAAGCATGGAAAAGGTCAAACGGCGAACAGGGGGGCAGGCCGCAGCAGGGTGGTTGAGAAACGATACGGATTCTCCAGAGACTGAGTCACCTCGGGAGAATTCTCAGAGCTGCCTCATGAGTCATCATGGTGCAATTGTGGAGGAGGGCCGTAGGAAAATACTTTTGAGGGGTTTTAGTTGTGCAGGTTTTTTAGAATTCTAAAGAACCTATCAGAATCCCTCAGGAGTCAGTACGGTGCGATTGCAGGGGAGGGCAGAAGAGAAAAATGTTTGAGGCGTTTCAGGAGCTGTGGAGAAAAAGGGAAGTAGGGGAAGTAGAAAAAGCAGATGGGGGAATATCTTGCAGGGGCACAACACACAGGTGAGAATGGTGAAGGCTACAGCATCAAGTGTCACGACGAGGGGGAGAAGGCTCACGGGGCTTGCAGAGGCGGAAGGTTGAGAGACAGCGGAACGTTTTGAGTGGACGTGGACTCAAATGTCGCATCAACTGCATCACTCGAGGGGAGAACGCTCACAGGTCTTGCAATTGCGGGAGGTTGAGGGATGGTGGTAGGCGGCCCTGAATGGTGTTGTTGCTCAGATGGCTGCCACGTGGCAAGCAGTGATTGAGGAACGGGAGCAGTACAAAGGACAAATCGGTACGAGTTGCTTCTCAATAAATCTTACGAGAAGCAAACTGATTCGCTACATGGATAGCCAAGCACGAAACTATCTTACGTGGCACATCCATATGACACCATTTACCCGACATAAAATCTCAACATCATGTCTGACGATGAAGGCTGCTGGACACATCATAGTCCCCACTGCGCACATGATCTGCATGCTATGAGTATTTGTTTTAGTCGACTAAAAAATAGACTCATAACACATAATCCCCGCTACTCACATAATCCCCGCTACTCACATGATCAGCAGGCTGCTGGACCCACTGAGCCCTGCTGGAAAGGTTTGGTTCAGCCGGTTGTTGTCCACAAGGCTGGCGGGTGAGTCGGTGATTGGGGAAGGGGGGTAGGGGGAGGGAGAGTGAAGAGGCAGAAGAGGAAGAATGGGGGAGTGGAGGGGTCAAAGCGCCCCAGGGAGCAGAGAGGGGCACCCTAAACCCTGAACCCTAAACCCTGAACCCTGAACTCGATGCTGCCAAGAAGGGTCTCGTCCAAGTTCAACAGAGCGCTGGCCCCAGGCTGAAATGCGGAGAAAGCAAAAATGTGGGTTCCATCTGTTCTTGGGTGCATGGGAGCATACCAGATGCGGTGCCTGGATAAAAGCCACCTAGGCTGAGTCATTTTTCAGAATTCTCAAGGGAAAAGGCACGGGAGCATGTGTGGGAGCATGTGTGAGCATGTGTGGGAGCATGTGTGAGCATGTGTGGGAGCATGTGTGAGCATGTGTGGGAGCATGTGTGGGAGCATGTGTGAGCATGTGTGGGAGCATGTGTGAGCATGTGTGGGAGCATGTGTGGGAGCATGTGTGAGCATGTGTGGGAGCATGTGTGAGCATGTGTGGGAGCATGCGTGATACGGTGCCTGGATAAAAAGCACCTAGGCTGAGTGACGCGCGAGACGAGGAGCGGGTGGAGTCATGGGGGAAGACTTGTGAGTCGACTCAAAAGCCGTCTTGAGACAGCGCCTGACTGAAAAGTAGCACCTAGGCTGTTGTCCACAAGGATGGGTGTGGAGTGGTGGGGTGCGAGAGGAGGGGGTGGGTCCGGTATGTGTGTGATTCAGTGCGTGACTAAATGAGTCCTAGGCTGCTCTCCATAGCCATGGGTGTGGTGGGGCGCGAGAGGAGGAGAGGGTGGGGGAAAGGGGAGGATGGGAGGAGGGGGGTGGGGTATGGTGGGGAGCGGGGAAGAAGGGTGTGAGGAGATGAGGGAGAGTGGAAGGACGAGAAGTGAGAGGGGCGGGGGAAGCGAGTGGCGGATGAACGTACAGGTGGATGAACGTACAGGTGGATGAGCTTTGGCAGTCGTCCCAGTTCCCCTGGGAGCCATGATAGCTGGTTGCGACCCAGGTGACTGACAGGAAAGGCGGCACACGAGACAGGGGCACACGAGACAGGGGCGCAAGAGGAGGCACACAAGGAGGCGGAGGCAAAAGGAAGTCAGGGAAAGCTTCGGCAGTCGTCCCAGTTCTTTTGGGAGCCATGAAAGCTGGTTGCGACTCAGGTGATGGCAGAGGACCAAGGGAGAGAGGAGGAGACGCAGCGATAAGAGGAGAATAAGGGTGGGGTGTGAAGAAGGGACAGGAGAAGGCGAGTTCACTGGACAAGGAGGGTCACGCACAGGTGGGCGATGTTGGTACACGTGTCGAATCCTGGTTGGACAGGCACCGGCCCTGAGATCTGGTTGTCCGTGATGTCAAAGAAGAAGAGGTCCGTTAGATTCGCCACCTGGCAGCAGGGGAGAGGGGAGAAGGGGGGGGGGGGGGGAAGAGGAGGGGGGAGTGGGTGGATGGTAGATGAACGGGGTGTATATGCAACAAAAAGCAATCGTCTCTCAGCTCTAGTTGCCTGCGACGTCAAACCAGAGGTCCGTCAAATAACCAGAGGTCCGTCAATTTCGCCACCTGCATCACGGAGGATGGGCGGGACGGGGGGAACGGGGGGGAGGAGAGGAGGAAGGGACGAGCTGGTAGTAAGAGTGGTGAGGGAAAGGGAGCAGAGCACTTGCAGCCGAATACGATATTGAAAAGAGCAGTGGTGGTAGGGGTGTGCTGAAATCCGGTTGTCTGTGATGTCAAACACCCAGAGCTCAGTCAAATCTGTCTGTTGAGTGGAGCTGGACAAGGGCAACCTTTTGAGTCGACTCAAAAGCTGGAGAAGGTCAGGAGAGGGGGGGGGGGGGTGGGGGGGAGGCAGGGGGGATGAGTGCAAGTGGGAGGGGGGAAGGGGTTGAGCGGAGGGATGAGTCTCCTCACAAGGCCGATGGTGGCAGGGATGGGTGTGGTGCATAGCGGTTCTGTGTGGTGGAAAGAGATACCCACCTGTCGAGGGAAGCTGCCGGCGAGCCACCTGTTGTTGACAGCAAAGAAACTGAGCATTCTCATGAGGGCTGATGGTAGCAGGGATGGGTGTGGTGCAGTGCAGTTGAATACGATGGAAGGGGGTGCAATCACACACTTACCCGTATGTATAGGTATGCTGCCAGATATTCTGTTTGCTGTTGACAGCAAAGAGGTTGAGCTTTCTTACAAAGGCCAATGGTAGCAGGGAGGGGAGGTGGCGTGGTGGTGTGTGCGACTCAGTGCAATACGGTGCGATTCAGTACGGTGGAAAGAGGACTTATTACTGCACCTGCACGGGAACTGCCAGATAGCATGTAGCTGCTGACAGCAAAGAAGCTGAGTTTCTTCACAAGGCCGATGGTAGCAGATAGGGATGGACCCTGACAGACTGCATCCGCGCATTCCCCATGCGGTGCAGTGCGGTGAGTGAAGGTACCTACCTGTCTAGGAATGCTGCCAGACAGCTTGTTGCTGTTGACAGCAAAGAAGTTGAGCTTCTTAACGAGGCTGATGGTAGCAGGGATGGATCCTGATAGACTGCACCCGTGCATGTCCCTGGTGGGCAGCGGTGCAATGCGGTGGGGTGAGGGGGGGTGGTGAGGATGGGGTGAGTTACGTTGCGATGCACTGCGGTCGAGATCGGTATAGTGAGGTGAAGAGAGGGGGGTGGGATGGAAAGGTGCTAGAAGAGAAACGGAGGGAGGATGAAAACACACGGGCTGGAGACAGGAGGTGAGAGGTGAGACGAATGAGAAAGAGAAGAATTAAGGGGGTTGTCTGGAAGAATGGGGAGAAGAATGGGGAACGGCACAAAGATGAGGCATTGGGAAGAAAGCAGGCGGAGTGGGAGAAAGGATGATTAGGAGGGACGAAGAGATGGGAAGAACGGAAGGAAAGAAAGGAAGGGAAGAAGAGATGGGAAGAAGAGACGGGAAGAAATGAAGGGACTAAGAGGAGGGAAGAAAAGGAGGGCTGATGTGCCGACATTCAGTCAGCTCTTTGGCTGCTGGACAGAACGGCCATTCTTGGCAAGCAGACTCGTTACAGGCTATGACTCACAGCATGGAGAGGCTGGACAGAGAGCCGATGGTGCTGTAGATGCTGCCTGTGAGGCCCGGGTTGAGCGCGATGTCCCTGAGAGGGGAGAGAGGTTGTTGAAGGGGGCAAAGGGAGCGAGACTGAGGCCCGGGTTGAGAGAAACGTTCCTGGAAGGGGAGAGAGAGGTGGAAGAGAGAGAAAGAGGGGCGGAGGAAGTGGAGGGAAAGGGAGTGATGGTGCTGTAGATGCTGCCTGTGCTGTAGATGCTGCCTGTGCTGCGAGGCCCGGGTTGAGCGAAATGTCCCTGGGAGGGGAGAGAGGCTGGAGGGGGAAATGGGAGAGAGGTCGGAGAAAAAGACGGGGGGAGGAAGTGGGGGAGAAGAGAGCTGGTGGTGCTGTGGGTGCTGCCTGTGGGACCCTGGTTGGGCGAAACGTCCCTGGAAAGGGCGGGCTGTTGGGGAGAGAGAGAGGGGAATAGGAAGAGGGGGCCTCAACACAGGAAGCCCACCGAAAGCCTCTGATTGGTCAAGAGCGTGAGCTGCAGAGATAGACCAGCACGGAAGTGCTGAGTGTTTTTAGAATTCCCAAAAACACCCTGCAAAAGCACGGAACGGAAGTGCTGAAACAGCAAAGATGACATGTTTGCTGAAACAACTAAGCTCACTGCTTCGTTTGAGGGCCATCGGGATGTGAGCTCAAGGGCACAGAACCGTACAGGGATGTGAGAGTGGTGAGCTCAAACAGTGCAGGAGGAAGCTGCCCGGAAAGTCCCAACCCTTGCAGTGTTCTGCCAGAAGAAATAAATTGAGGAGGGACGGGATGGGATGGAAGAGGGTGTGTGAGGTGAGGAGGGCGAAGGAGGAATGCAATGGCCCGGTTCTGCGGGCAGACGGAAGTCTGGCAGACTCGGAAACGGGGGAAGGTGGCAGACATGCTTGCGCAATTTCGCCCAGCGGGTGGCGAAGGCGCGTGACTCCAAGTCACGCCCATGTGCAAACCACCGATTTGGTGGTTTGCTGATGGAAGCGAATGGGGTTTCTGATTTGCCTGGCGGGGAAGGTAGTCAGGTGAGTTCGCCTTGATTCCGCCGATGGGTGTGGGCGTTCTGCCGGCACTCTGATTCCGCCAGGCTCGGCACAGAATCACTAGGTTTGACCCTTTTTTCGACTGCCCAGACAGCCGAGCCTAATTTCGGTGATTTCCGGCCTGTTGGCGGAAGATTCCCTCGACGGAATCACCTGCCCGCAGAACGAGGGCAATGCAACGCACCACCTGAAAATGCAATGCAACGCACCAGAAAATGCAATGCAACGCACCACCTGAAAATGCAATGCAACGCACCAGAAAATGCAATGCAATGCACCACCTGAAAATGCAATGCAACGCATCAGCTCTTCAACCAAGCAGAGGGCGACGAAATGGATAGATTGGGGCGAGTGTGATTGTGAAGTAGACATGGGCATGAGCCGAGCCTGGCTCGGCTCGGCTCGTTTGGGGTCGAGCCGAGCCGGCTCGCCGGTCGAGCCGGCTCGGCTCGCCTCGAGCCGGGACCTCAAAATCCCCGGCTCGGCTCGTGAAAATGGGGTCGAGCCGGGGCCGGCTCACCGGCGAGCCGGCTCGGCTCGGCTCGTCAGGGGGGCTTGAGTAACCTCTCAAGAAGGCCCACTGTTTTTGGGGACTCTAGTCCAGGGGATGTGCCAGATTGTGATTGTGAACAACTGCTGCTCTGTTTGGGGCGCCAGTACAAGTCTAGGTGAGCTGAAAAGTCACAATAATTTAATTAAGTACCATGGAATAGAAGTTAAGAGTGCCCCTTTGCCAACAGCATGTTCTCAGCGCAACCAGACGCAAGCTAGCAACCACCCGACCACATGGTTTAGCACGCAGCCTACAGCTCCTCCACCCCGAGCTTCTCCGTCTCTTTGATCCACCCTGGCTTTAACAGGGAGACACCAGGGTGCGTGCGAGTCCATGACTTGAGTGTCATAGTGGCTCACACGCTCTCCCCAGACAACCTCTGCCTATGGCGGGTGATCACATTTCGGCTCTGACTGAAAACACGCTCGCTAGCTGCCGATGTTGCTGGTATGGCCAGGTAATCCCTGGCCATAGCCTGCAACACCGGCATATCAGACCTCTCGCGCCAGTACGCCAAGGGGCAACCGTCATGCAACTCCCCCTCAATGTAACGATCCACCTCATCCCGCACCGTGGCCCCCCGTCGTGCGGAGCGCGCTAACAGCTTGGCGTGGAGAGACTGGCTCAAGCCACCCCGCACTGGTACACCACTAGCATCTCCACCCTCAACCCCCCCCCCCCGCCAAGCCCCCCCCCCCTCTGCCCCCGTCCTGTTGCTGTGCCGCCTGCTTCAGCCGCTTACTGTACTCAGCAAAGCGAGCCCGTACAAGGGTCAGCACCTCTGACGGCTTGAAGCTCGCCACAGGCCTGCCCTGCTGCTCCTCCTCCCCCTCCTCCCCCTCTCCCCCCTCCTCATCCTCCTCCTCCTCCTCCTCCTCCTCGTCCTCCTCGTCCTCCCCCTCTGCGCCCTTCTCTGAACCCATCTCCTCCTCCCCCCTCCCCGCACCAGCGGCACGCACAACTAGCGCGCGTGAAGACCCGGCTAGTCCGCTTTCCACGCCCACCCCGTTTGCCCCCTCTCCCTCTCCCCCAGAGCGGGTGTCCGTCCCTCCATCCACCTCGAAGAACACCAGCCTCATGCCGGGGTTCAGAAACGTCGCCACCACGAGCTCATCGCTGCTGCTGCAATAGTACCGTTCCAGCACGTGGAAGGCGACGCCAACGAGCTGACGGCCGATGAGGCGGGGCGATGGCCATGCCTGCAAGGTGTCCATCAGTTCGTTGAACTGTGGCACAACAGCAGATGATGTGGGGTAGGAAGAGCCCTCGGCCGCCACCGTGATGGAACTGAACGGTGCCAGGAACTCCGCCAGGACATCCAGCGTGTCCCAGTGCGCGTCGGTCAGGCGCAACGCGACGTACTTCGCGCGCTCTTCAGCCGTCTCTCCCTGGGAAGTGAGCAGGGGTGCATGGGGGGGGAGGGGGGGTTGTGGGGATACCATGGGTGTGGCGGCATGGAAGGAAGTGTCACACAAGGGGTGCGTAGGAGCATCCGTGCACGCAATGGAAGCAGTGGAGTGGGCTTTTGTAAAGAGGGTACCTGCTCCACTGCGAAGTGCGCAGTGAGGGATCGGCGGAGCCTTAATGCACGCGCGACCATCTCGTGCGTGCTGCCCCAGCGAACCTCGCTGTCCTGCACCAGGCGGAGGACCGTCCCTTTGAGGACGGGGTCGGACCGCTGCTGCGCTTCAAAGTCGCGCGTGCGCCTCTCACTCCATCCCACAAAGGTGGCGATGTCGCGTAGGAGCTTCAGCGGCACCCTCACCGCTGGCAGCTTCAGCGCACGCTGGACTGCAAGGTTCAGGATGTGCGCCAGGCAGCTGCATGTTCCAAGGCGCACAGAGGGGGGGGAGAGAGGGGAGGGAAATCCTTAAGGACCCTCCATGCCATTGAGAGGGGAGGTGTGGATCGTCTGAACAGCAGCACACTATGTGGACAAGACAAGGGCTGCAAGCTCGCCACGCACTCACCGGAAGTGCATGCCATCTGCGAGGAGAGGCGTGGCCAACGCATGACAACCAAGACCGGCGAGGCGACGCATGGCGGCTGTGTTGCTGCTGGCGTTATCCGTCGTCACCCCCATGCAAAACCCCACGAGCTCCCACTCCCTGATGACTCGCGCGAAGACGTCTGCAATCAGCCGCCCTGTGTGCCGCGCTCCCAGCTCCATAAACTCCAGTGTACACTGGCGCAGCTGAAAATCCCTGCTAATGAAGTGCGCCGTCACTGTCATGTACCCCCGCCTGTTACCCCCGGTCCATATGTCCGTTGTGAAAGAGACACGCCCGCTCCCGGAACCCGCCCCAAACTCCGACTTAACCACTGCCCGTGCCGCCTCAGAGTAGAAGCGGAGGTCCCTGGAAACGGTGGTCCGGTCGGGTATGGGGATTGCGTCACCGCATTGGGGGTTGCATACAGCCAAGAGGCGGCGGAACTGCCAAAAGGAAACGAGAGGGGGGGTGTGGGGTTTGGGGGTGTTTAGTGCCATGCGGGGGGGGGGGGGAGGAGGTGGTGGTGGGGCGGGTGGTTCTTTTGGTGGGGCAGATCCAGTAGGTTATAAGGGGGGGGGGGGAGTTGGGTTACACAATGACCACAGGCTAAGGGAAGGGTGGGGGGGGGGGCTGGTGGGGTGGCTCGCTTACCGCGGGGTCCTCTACGATGCGGAAGGAGCTGTCGGTGCTGGCGATGAACTCGACGATCGCCTGACGCAAACGCGGCTCCGACACACGTGGGCCAAGGAACCGGTCCATCGTGGGCTGCCTCGCGTCCGCCGCTGCCGGGGACAGGGACGGGATGGTGGCGCCGAAGGGGGGGGTGCGGCCAGGTCTTGGACCACTCGTTGGGCGCCTTCCCATCAGGGACATGTGGGTACCCCCCCATCGGAAATGACTCTCCTGGCTCAAGACCCTCGACCACGCGCCGCTGCCATATGTCCCAGTGTGGGCGATGGTGTCTCGCCATATGTTTGGCACCCGTGCTGGTCTGGCTGTCCTTGAAGCCCATCGGCTTCTCGCACATCTTGCACACTCGCTTTCTCTCGCTCCCCAAGAAACACTCTGCCACACGCTTGTTGCTCCTCTTTGCTCCAACCTTACGGTTCTTTTTCTGTCTTTTCCTTCCCCCCTCCTGCTCAACGCCTGGGTCCACATCCTCAGCCCCATCCGCACGCCCTCCCCTGCCTTGACACCCGACGGACGGAGCAGCGCGCTCCCCCCCCTCCTCCCCGCCCCTCCTCCCCCCCTTTGCGCCTGTCCCTGGCCGTGGCCCAACCCCACTCCCTTCCTGACGCTGCCTCTTCCCCCTGGCGCTCTCCCCCCCCCTACTCCCACCCGTTCCCTTCTTGGACCGACAATCCCCCTCCCCCTCCTCCTCCTCCTCGTCCTCCAATACCAATCCCTCCATCTCGAGCTCATCCTCCTCCTCCTCCTCTTCCTCCTCCTCATACTCGCTGCCGCTAGATTTTCCGCTCTCCCGCTCCTCCGACTCGCTCCCATCCCTCTCATCGCCACCGCTCTCCCGGCTGCGGCCCCGTTGTGCGCGCTTGAACCTCCTCCCCTCCCCCTGGGCTCTCCCCCACCCTCCCCCTCGTCCCATCCCCTGCCGAGAGAGGAGGAAATCTGTCCACTCCTCAGGCATGTGGGGCATGGCTCCACCTCCATCGGTCTCATTCGCTCTCGAACTCACACCCCCCTGGTCCCCCAACGCCTCATCTGTGCCCGCTACACGATCCCTCCCCGGCCCCCCTTGCCTAGCCGCCGTTGCCTTGGTCTTTGCCATGTGCAATGCAAGTTCGCGCACCCCCAAATGCGTGCGCTTAACCTAATCAAGCGTTACCAAGCGTGCGCATACCACGAGCCAAGGCCTTGGTGGCGCGCCTAGGGCTGTCGCGCATACCACGAGCCAAGGCCTTGGTGGCGCGCCTAGGGCTGTCGCGCATACCACGAGCCAAGGCCTTGGTGGCGCGCCTAGGGCTGTCGCGCATACCACCAGCCAAGGCCTTGGTGGCGCGCCTAGGGCTGTCGCGCATACCACCAGCCAAGGCCTCGGTGGCGCGCCTAGGGCTGTCGCGCATACCACGAGCCAAGGCCTCGGTGGCGCGCCTAGGGCTGTCGCGCCAAGGCCTCGGTGGCTCTCATTATAAATAGTAGTTCTTACGTCTTGAAAAAATAAAACAACGTGCTGCAAGTTTGGTTCTGGCTGAGGGCGAAAGACTAGGGCGATAGGCTAGGGCGTTATGGTGAGTGAGATTAGGGTTGGTTGACGAAATGAGTTTGGGGGGGGGAGTTTATCGATTTGAATTTTGACTGTCGCGAAACCCCCCCTTACCCGAACCGCGAGCCAGCTGGCTCGAACTCGAGCCATTTCGAGCCGGCTCGACTCCGGCTCGCCTGGTGTCACCTGCGCGAGCCGAGCCGAGCCGCCGGCTCGAGTCGAGCCGAGCCGGCTCGGCTCGCCTCGAGCCGGGCACCAAAAAAAAAGGCTCGGCTCGCCTTAAAGGCGAGCCGAGCCGAGCCGAGCCAGGTGTGGCTCGGCTTGTGCCCATGTCTATTGTGAAGCGCCTCAGAAAAAGGCTCTTCAGAAGCGCAGAGAGGGACAAATTGGATGGATTGGGGCTATTGGTGGCGGCTACATGAGACTTGTAACCACTCACTCACAGCGATGTAACCACGTGACAGCCCACCTCGCCACTCTCGCAGCTGACCCCTGGCCAGCTGTAGTGGCCACTGCTGATGGCAAGGCAACACAGGGGCCGTCCCCTCCCCAGTCACATGCACCAACAGTGATGGAGCGCCCATAGAATTGTAACCACTCACAGCGATGTAACCATGTGGTTGCCTGTGCCGTTGCTCTCACAGCTGACCCCCGGCCAGCCGCTGTTGCTGGCAGCACAGGGGTCGTCGCCAGTCCAGGCATTGAAGAACGAGTTGGAGGAAGGAAAGGCTGACGCTATGGCGCGAAGGGTGGCCACTGGGGGGAGGAAGAGGGAGGGAGAGGGGGAGAAAGTGGGGGAGGGGAGTTTTGAGTCGACTCAAAGGTCACCGCTCCTGCTGGCCGCGCAGGGGTCGTCGCCAGTCCAGGCATTGAAGAACGAGTTCGAGGGGCGGAGGGAGGACGGACGCTGTGGTGCGATGAGTGGCTGCTGCGACAGGGAGGAGGGGGGGGGGGGGGGGATTGTTTGGAAGATTGGAAAGGGGGCCCGTCCCGGCAGAAATAGGGGCCTGTCTACGTCCCAGTCCAGGCATTGGAAAATGAATTGAGGAGCCGAGGGAGGAGGCTATGGTGCGAAGGGTGGCAATAGAGGAGTGACGAGAAGGGGGGAAGAGGGGGGGAAGGAGGGCGGAGATCCGGGAGTGAGGAGATGAAGAGAGTGGGTGGGGGGAAGGGAGGAATCCAGGAGGCGATCGCCCTCAGTCCAACTGGTTGGAGAAAGAGCAGGAGGAGCCGAGGGAGGAGGCTATGGTGCTAAGGGTGGTGGCTACTGAGGGGAGAAAAGAGAGGTGGAGAGAGAAGGGAATGGGGAGGGGGAGACAGAAAGACGGAGGGAGAAGATGAAAGAAGCAAGTGAGCGAAGAAAGGGAGGGAGCGAGATGCCTTGGGGAGGAGGAGCGGAGCAGAGGGGCGGAAAGAGGGGCGGGAAGGGGGTTGGAGGGGGAGAGGGAAGAAAGAGAGGAGCGTTAAGCCCGGCATTTGGGGAAAGGTGTAGGAGAGAGGCAGGGGAGAGTAAGGAGAGGGGCCGAGGGAGGTAGATGGAGTGAGTCAGGACTGAATGTGATGGGCAGCGACATTTCAAAGGCTCACACTTCAAGGCTCACACCATGTGATGGGCAGCGACATTTCAAAGGCTCACACGTCAAGGCTCACACCATGTGATGGGCTGCGACATTTCAAAGGCTCACACCATGTGATGGGCTGCCACATTTCAAAGGCTCACACCATGTGATGGGCTGCCACATTTCAAAGGCTCACACCATGTGATGGGCTGCCACATTTCAAATGCTCACACCATGTACCATGTGATGGCCTGCCACATTTCAAAGGCTCACACCATGTGATGGGCTGCCACATTTCAAAGGCTCACACCATGTGATGGGCTGCCACATTTCAAAGGCTCACACCATGTGATGGCCTGCCACATTTCAAAGGCTCACACCATGTCGAAATGCTGGAAAGTGAAGGGCCGTAGGAAAGGAATTGAAGAGCCGCGAGTGAGGTGATGTTTCCGGACGACAGGAAACGAATGGAGCCAGGGTCAGAAACACGGAAAAAAAACTATATATGGGGGGAGGGGGGGAGGGGAGGGGAGGGGAGAGGGGGGGTATTGGGGTAGAGATGAGCGATTAAGAATCACCTTGAGCTGGGTCCGTCGCGGCACTAACGACGTGGAATGTGCCAAGATTCGGAGTCGTGGCAGCGACCAGCAAGGCGATTTGAACGAAAGAGATGAGTCGCCTTTGGGGATTTCGATTCGCGAGCGACGCGGAGCGCCAATCCATGATGATGCTATGAAAATGCGACACGGCTTTGCTCGGTTAGGCCGCGTCGCTTTCGAAGAACACGAAAATGTTACTGCTAGAGTGACGGGTAGGTAACCATGGCGCTCCAGCTAGGAAGAACAGCTAATAACGAGTCACTCGCACGGTGCGAAAGGAATGGTAAGTCGCGGCGCGTGGTAATGGCGTAGTCCAAACGTTGTAACGGCCCTTCGTGGTGGTCCGTTTCCTAACGACACGAAGATTTGAACAAAAAACGACTGAGAGGGACAGACAGAAGCTCGTTTCCGGAAAAACAGGGGGAGATAAGAAAGGACGATATCGTCGTTACAATGAGAGTCCAAACCAGACGAACGGCCTCTGCAGCGCTACTTAGTACTACTAGTTAGCATAGAGTTGGAACCTGTTAGGTAGCTAGCGACCCTCCTACCTGTTAGGTCAACGAGCCTCAGATCATTGGGAAAGCGATCAAAGTGCGTCAGGTGCGTCCCATTGTTCGCTGTCATGTTTTTTTCGGGCTGCCCAAAAAACTAGACGCACAGGGGCCCGCATGCCATTCGGGGTGACATCAACCCTAAATTCGCGGCCCATGTTGTTTACGGGCAGGTTGCTGCCCGTCACTTGGCGTACTTTGTGATCGCCCTGCCAAACTACGTGTCGCTCGTTGATCCCTTCACAAATGACCTCTAGCTTGAGTGAGAAGCGAGCCATGTAGGACTGGCTAGAGCTAACTGCTCCTACAGGATCAGGGATGCTGCCTTATTTGCCCAGCGGTTTGTGTGGGATTCGATAGGTTGGGAAACCCACCCTTGCCCTGACCCGCAAGGCAAACCGCCTTCACCAGTACAACAAACCAATGGCTCAAACACGAGGGAATGACGCACCTAAAAAATGACGCGTCTTTGATTATCTTTATCATGGGGTTTTACCTGGCCCCAGGCCGTGGGAAACCCGAGTTCCCTTTATCTGTATCCTAATCTACTGGGGCTCTGGTGGGCAGCAAAGAATTCCCGAAGTCGTGCGAACTGTTACAACAGCCTGCTGTTTTGGATTTCGGGTTTTGGGTTCCGTACCCGAGATCTTTCGATAGTTCCGTATCCACCGCTACAGCAGATGAGGACCAAATAAAAACCTATAACTAAACTAAACCGATACGGGCTCGCGATGAGTTTGGGGTTGTTGCCACCTCGTGCCGCACCCGGCGCCGTTAAAGGTATTATTTAAT